CCGCTGCCTTTGCCCGCAGAGCTCTTCCCGGCAAAGTTCCCCGTCTGGCTCATTTCCCCGAAATTTGGGGACGGACTGCCCGGGGAGGCGTGGCTGGTCACACTGGGCAGATGAAAGGGAAGGCGCACTCGCATGGGGGCCCAGGGCGACTGGAACCCTGGCAGGGGGCACGCCGAGGCCTCCCAGCATCCCGCCTCCGAGGTGGGTTCTGGAAATACCGCCCGGAGGCGTTTTTATCCATCCGAGTGTGGCCATGGTAAAATTAATAGCAAGCGTTTCTTGCACGATAAGGAGTGTGCTGGGCAGCCGGCTGAGGCTTGGTATACAACATCCCCGTTAAGGACAACAGGAAGGCGCCATTGCTGTCTTGTGTGGGCAGATAGGGAAACCGAGCCTCAGAAAGACTGCAAGGGTACGCCTTAGCAAGCTGCAGAGTTGGATTTGAACCCAGGTGTGTCTGGCTCAGCAGCTCTCTCCTGGGGAGAGAGACAGGTCTTGTCCTCAGAGAATCCAGGCAGCTTACGGAGTCCCAGCCTACCTGCTGGGAACCAGGTTGTCTACAGACCAAAGGGTCTCACCTGGGTGGGCCCCCTCAGTTATTTTCAAGGTCTGTTAAAACTACAGATGCCCATGTCCCAGTCAGCCAGGAGCACCCAGAGAGCCTACGCTGTGTCTTACTCACCTCTGACTCCGGCGCCCTGCAGAGGGGCCGGTAGGGAGCAGGTGCCTAAGTCTGATGAGTGAATGGGTGTAGTGGGGCAGGTGGTGACACTGGGAGGAAGGTGAGGGAAGGAGGTTTGCTCAAGGAGGCCGTGAACTAAGGGCAAGTGCCTAAGGCAGGCAACCTGGGAAGACAGGACAGAGTTGGCACGGAGTCATGCTGGCCTCGGGGCCTGTAGAGAGCTCAGGCAGGGCCACCTGTTCCCCTGCTAAGGTCCCCAGGACCTGGCCTGGTCGAGCTGGGACCACAGATGTGCACTCTCCAGCCTGGAGATGTCCAACATGTAGGTTCCTCTCCTGCTCGTGTTTCCTGTCCTGCTTGTTCCATGGCCTTCTCTCTCTCTGGGCTTATCAGAGATCAGAGTGCAGGGTGGGGCTTCAGGCAGTTAAAAAGGGAAAGTTCTGAGCTCAAGTCGGAAGCTGCCTGCCTGAGCGCTGGCCGGGTAGGGAGCAGGCAGCTGACTGTAGAGGAGAGAGCCTGGCTTTGGAGCCCCAGGGACCCGCCATTCCCAGCTCTCTGAACGGCATTTCTTCATCTGCAAAACCTTGCCAAGGACTTGGAACATGATAGCTCTGTAAAACAGGGAGGATAATGGCCGCCTGGTGGGGGCAGGGGGTGCTAATTGTATAGCGTGCGGAGGTGCAGGGGCACAGTAAACATCAGAGCCCTTAGCTGGGACCCTTCCAGGCTCATTGCTCTTCCAGTCTGAACCCTTCAGTTCCCTAGAGAAGGCAACGGAGGCCCAGGAAGCAGTCTCCAGGGTCCCCTTGTCCGCCGCAGAGCTGGCCTCGGCGCCAAGTCCCAGGGTGCTCAGCTCAGTGTCTTGGTTGATGCTTCCCAGCCTGGAGAAAGAACTTTGTGCACCTGCTTCCTTCCCCGTGCAGCCTACAAATGAAAACCTCAGCGGGCTGGGGCGGCAGGTTAGGGCGGTGGAGGGAAGCAGGCCATTCAGGGACGTGGGGTTCCCTTGCCTTCCAGGTGAGGCTGCATCCACCCCTTCCTGCCCTCCCTAGCGAGCCTGGTCAGTTCTTCCTGGGCTGGGCAGGAAGTCGAGCATGCCATGAGATACTTTCCAGCATCTGGACCAGGATTGGACTTGGCCTCTTGATCTAGAAGAAGCAAGTTTGCCAGTTGAAGTAGTCATTAAATCCCCAAGGCCAAGTTGGCACTCTTGCTGCCTCCTGGGGGTGGGGGGAACGGAGGGCGGGGGCGGGGCAGAGGCAGCAGGTGCATCTTCTCCACGCCCACTCTGTTCTGCCAGCCCCTTCCTATTTGGGAGGGAGCACTTTAGGTGGTATCCAAACATTCAGCCACAGAAGCCTCACTTCCTCCCCCTGCCCCCTGCCTGCAGGCCCACCGGCCTGTCCAGCAAGCATGGCCCCTTGCAGTAAGAGGGGCCTCCTGGCAGAATGCGTGTCACACCCGTACCCTCTGAATATTTCTGAACACAAGTGAGGGAGCAGCATGGGTGAGACCCAGGAACCCCAGCTAAGGTGAGCCCCTATTGGAAAGTAGAAAAGTCTCCTCCCCCAACCACCCCCCAAGCTGGAGGCCGTGTCCATGGTGCCTGCTTTCAGGGCCGGAGGCAGGATAGCAAGTGAATGAATCAGAAGCTCCTGCTCCTGAGCCTAGAGGCAGCTTTCGCTCCTCTTCAGGTGTGGCCGGCTCACCGTGAACTCATCTCTGATTAGATCAGGGTTCAGCACTCTGGCAGCGTAAGCTCCCTGTCGCTGGAGAATTACTTAGTTCGCAACACTTCCCAATCAGGCTGTCCTCGTGCGTCACCATGGTCACCTGCAGGCCAGGCAGCAGGTGGGCGAGGACTGCTCTGCAATCAGCCAGAGGCTTAGCCCTGTCTTTGTCTCCTGCTTAATGAGAGCCAGGTGGGATCTAAGCAAGCAGCCCCTTTTAAGCCTTCTTGAGTTATCAGATTTAGGAGATGAAACTGGGGAGGAAAAGCCAACCCCAAGGTGATAAAACTGATCCTGGGCATAATTGGGCGTTGGGGGGTAGGCCTACTAAGCTTCATGTGGTGGGTGGAGCCTCTCGGTTCACCTGCAGCCAGCAGGGCTCCCACAGCTGGCACGACGGGCGTAGGATAGGAGGCGTGGCCCTTCCCATTAACCGCGCTCACACAAAGCTTGGGGAGTGACTGCCAGGCCACGTGGGCTTGTTGTCATCATGTGTAGGCTCTCTGGGTGACCAGCCAAGTCTGCACGTGGTCAGCAGCACACTGGACGGAGTGGGAAAGGGGGTGGGGGACGTCACCCAGCAAATCAGCCCCAGCCTGAGTATGAGCAAGGCCCAGGGCAGCTGTGGGTGGTGAGACCAAGGCTTTCTGTGGCTGGCCCTTGGCAGTGGCTCCAGATTGGCCAGAATGAGGAGGTAGCTGCCTCTGGGAGGGAAGGGGTGAGCCCGCGCTGGGCCTGGCAGCCAGGGATTATGATGGGGGAGGGGGCCGGGAATGGGTGGGCTTCCATCTGGGAAAGACCTGTGCTGATGGTGTTCCTGGATCAGAAGGCTGGAGTTGGGGGACCCTGCAACACCCATCTGCTGTGAGTTCCTGCGCGGCTGCCTTTTGTCCTCCCGTGTGACCATATCTGCTGTGGCTATGCGTGGAATGCAGAAGGGAAAGGGGCTTCCCAGAATTAGGGGAGCTCCAGGTAAGACCCCCCCTTGGAAGCAGGTGCCACCGCCCACCGGGAGCCCTCCAGGACCTGTGGGGAGCTTGAGAGCTTCTGTCCATGGGACTGGTGGGTTTGCTTTCCTAAGGAAGCGTGGTTTCCCCCACTAGGAGCTTCTCCCAAGGGGTCTGGAACCCACCCAGGGGCACTTACTGGAACACAGAGTACCGAGTGCCTCCCCGCCCTGCCACCTGCTGAATCAGGGGTGCTAGGAAGCTGCCTTGTAAGCTTCCAGATGTCTCTGGTGGGTCCAAGTGTTTACCAGTGGTTGTCCACACTGCATGAGCCCCAGTGGCTCAATCAGTGTCCAGGGCCTCCTGGTGAGCAGAGCACGGTGCGAGGGCACCCAGGGCCCTGCCCATAGCTGACAGTGCCAAGTGACAGTGGAGCAGCCACAGCAGCAGAGGGAGTGCGGTTCGGGGGCCCCGTGTGGGGAGTGGCCCTCAGCAGAGCAGGGCAGGTGCAAACAAGGACGATTCCCAGTAACATGGGCTTGAAGGAGGTTCACACTCATCCGAGCGGAGCAGAAAAGCAGCCTGCTCACTGTCCTGCTGCTGGTACAAGGCTGGACCTGAATTCACACCCGGTCTGTCTAGGGACATGCACCAGCGACACACAGGGAGAGGTGGTTGGGGACAGAGGAGGTGCCCTAAGCACCAGGAGCTTAGGCTGCGTCCTCCAGGACGCAGGGATTTGGATGGGCCGGGACCTAAGGTAGAAGCGGTGGCATTGCCCAGGTGGAGAGGGCCAGGGGCTGGGGAAGGCAGGCTCTGCATCCTGGCCGCCCGTGCTGGGCTCCAGGAAGAGTTGAGGACCCGCACCCGCCCACAGGAGGCGTCGCTTGAGTAGGAGAGACAGACCATAGGGGCCACAGCCATCAGAGACCCACGTGCCCCCTGCCGGGGTTGTTGGTCATAGCAGAGTGAGACTGCCCACAGCCTGGTGGGACGCGGCCGGCCAGCCGGTGCCTGGGACTGCGCGGAGCCACCCTGCTTTTTCCGCAGGCAGACGGAAGCAACGCAGCCCTGGCGTGATTTCCCTGACAAAAGAGCCTGCAAGCCTCCCAACCCCTTTTGGCCTGCAGGGTGGACTGGAAGGCCGGTGCCATCCACGCCCTGCCCTTGTGGTGGTGTAGTCTTGTATTTGTGGCTCTTCCTGTCTGCCTGTCTGTCTTCCTCCTCACCATGAGCACTGTGTAGCAAGTACAGAGGACAGAGAAGCCCTGCTCAGCCCCCAAAGCTGGCAGAATCCTCACTAAGGCCAGCAGCAACAGGCCATGGTGCATACAATACATCGCCCCTGCAGGAATTGATAGATTACCACTTTCTGCAGCATTATGTTGGGTTTTGTATCCTAAAGAATCAACACCTCTCTCTTCTCTCTTTCTCTCTCTCTCTCTGCCTCCGCCCCCTTCCTCCCCCACTCCTGTGTCTGTGTGTGGCGGGGTGTGTCTGCCTGTGAGGGATGACATTGACTCGCTCGATGCATCCCGGGCACTGCTGTCCGTCCCCCTCGGTTCCTGTGGCAGAAGGATTTGAGTCTGAGCCACTAATTAGCACCAGTGAGGTTTCCTCCCCAAACAGGAAGTCTCAGGGCAGAGCCCGTCTCTCTCTCTCAGTGCTCTCTCTGACCAAGCATCAGTCACCACTCCCGGTCCCGTCCCTGTGGCCGGGAGCTGGAGCGCAGGCTGCTTGGCGGGGGTGCATGTGTGGTGTAGCCCGGCTCTCCACACACCTGGGAAACCTCAGGTCAGAACCCAAGTCAGGCTGGACCGGGTTGGAGCCCCTCGTGTCGGCCTGATGTCGCAGCTGCCTGTTGTTGGTAAGTCTGCCTGGGTCCAGGTCCCAGGGGGGTGTGGGGAGTGTCGGACTGCCACCACCCACTGGCCTTCCAGGCTGTGCCCTTGTGTCTCCAGGGAGGAGGGAAGAACTCAACACCTCCCAGAGAACTTGTCTGCCTGGAAAGGGATGTCGTCTCATGAGGCTCTTGCTAAAAGAAAGCCAGAAATTGTATCATCTCTCCATGTCCCTGGCCCCTTTTGGAAGAAAGAGAGTCTTGGCTGTTAGGAGCCTTTGCAAAGAAAGGAGTTTGAGGATTTATCACAGCCGGTGCCTTTGGTTAGTGAGAGCCACTAGCCTTCTGCATTCTGGTGTGTGTGTGTTTTTTTTTTTTTCAAAGATGTTAATGTTCGCGATGCATTTCTGTAGACTGCAGGTCCATGGGGGATTATAAATTTTACTTATTGGTAATCATTTCTGCATGGGTTTATCACGGAACTGCTGCTGCAAGTAATTGAACCGGATTTTTCTAGAATGATTTGAAAATCTCAGTGTTTGTAAAGAGCTCTATAAATTATTCATTCACTTTTAGTTTGCAAAGTGGTGTGGTGATAAACTTCTGTCTTCCCTGAGACCCAGCTTGCATGGCCGTGCGTGTGCGCGCACGCGTGCACCTGGGCCGCCTTCTCTTTTACAGCAACTTCTTGGCCTTCCCTTTACAAATATAACGATTTTTAAAAATCATGTCTAGATAACAATTCCAGGTGGTGTCAGCAGAAAATGTAAAATGTTTGAGTCCATCAGAAAGGGAAAATGGCCAGAGAAAACACAGATGCACCTCTTGGGATGCATGACTGGCACCGGCTTTCAAACCCTCTGTCGTCTATCCCCTTGAGTCAGCTGTAGAAGCCCAGGTGCTGGGGAGGGAGAGGGACCCAGGGCCAGGTGGAGCCTCCCAGACCCCTAAACCTGAGAGGACCCAGGAGGAGCAAGGCCTGGGGACTGAGCTGCCGGCGTAGGGTATCTGGGCTGGAAGACACCACAGTTTTGCAGAAACAGCCTGGGAATGGGAGACTGGAGGATGTGAGTTCACGCGGCCCCAAGAGTAGAGGGAACGTAGAGAGGAAGTGAGCAGATGCCTGAGTCTGGTGCTGACCGGGTGACAGCCTGTTACTCATGCCCATGGCCACCACACGCCCTCACCCCTCCCGCGGCCACGGGAATGCAGGCACAGGATGGGACTGAGGCACAGTAGACCCAAGCTCTGTGGCTTAGAGGAGGTTGCCCCAGCTGTCTGGCCCTCAGTCTGCTCACCTGCCAAGTGGGAGTAATGACAGCCTTCTGCAGGTCACGCTGCAGGTGCGCCAGCCTCGTGCGTGGCAACTTCTCTGCATTTATGCACCGGGGCCAGGCCTCTGCTGGGTGCTGAGTGGCATCTGCCCAGCCACCCCCTGTGTTCAAGATTTCTACATGGGGTGGTCGGGCTGTGGGGCTGCGAGCGCAGGAGAGCCCCGCCCCTTTCTCCTCCCTGCAGACTGTCCCCGATTTCCAATGGATTCACTGACTTCACCTTGCGCATGCAGTGGGAAGTGTACTTGGGATTTTGGATTTTGATCTTCTCCTGGGCTGGAGATAGGCAGTCCAGTGCTCTCTGATAGTGCCAGGGAGCAAGCAGCAGTCCCAAGGGTGAGACAGCTGAGGCTCTGCAGCGCCCTGGGTTGCTGAGCCAGAGTGTGGAGCAGCAGAGGGATATGCAATGTGTTTTCCACTTTGTGGGACATGTAGTTCAGCTCCATGAAGTAGCAAAGACTTGATGGAAGCTGTGATTCATCGTCTCTGACTGAGGCATGTCAGGGAAGCCATGTCGTTCTTCCCAGAGGTGTTAGCTGTAGGGTTAGCATGTGTGGGGGTTATGGGGGTGGGGGGTGGGGCTAAGCCCTGGCCATCCACTGCCATGGGCTGGCTCCATCCTGTTTCCTGTGCTGCAGAGGAGCCAAGGAATGGGAGGATTGCCCATGAACTCTGCCTTCCAGAGGAGCTGAGCCTTCCTGTTGGACCTTGACACTTGTTCCTTGGAGAGAAGGGACTTTGCAGGCAAAAGGATTAAATCTGTGACCTGAGCAGGAAAAAAAACAAAAGCCCAAGATCTGGGTAGGGAGTGGCCAGGGACAAGGCGGTAGACCAGGCAGGAGGGAGGTCTGCCCGGGAAGAGACTGCACATCTGCCAGTCACCCCAAGGAGACTGGGCGGACCCCCCAGAAGGCCTGCTGCGCCCTGGCTCAGATGCCCACAGCCCTGGAGCCCCCATGGCCGGCTGCACCCCGACGTGCTGCCTATCTGGTGTTTGGTTTTCTACTTTGACCAGAGCTCCTGTTTGTGTTTTTATATCTTTCTTCAGAGTTTGAACTCATCCAGGCCCGAGCTATCTGTTAAGTTTTGTCAAATAGCAAAACGCTTGGCCAGGACCACCGGCATCGTCGGGTAGCTGCAGGGCTAGGCACTCGTGATGTGATTACTTCACTGCCCCTGGGTGTAGGGGCACCCCAGCTGCAGCATTGCTTGTCCTCAGGCATAGGATCTGGCAATCCCATCATTCAAGCCACAGAAGCAAACTGAACACCTGCCAGGTGCCAGGCCCCAGGCTGGGTGGTGGGGTAACAGGCAAGTGAGCCAGCGTCCAGCTCTTGGAAGAGTCGCAGGTGGCCCGTGGTGGGTGGCTGGGAAGAGGCTGTGTGCCCCTCCCCACACAGGGGGAGTGGGAGCGGACTTTAGAGTCCTCTGGAGACCACAGCAAGAGACTGCCAAGGGTCAGGCCAGGGCCCCCCAGGAGCTTCCTGGAAAAGCCTGGGCAAACCAGGGGGAAGTGAGCCCGAGCATCCGCGGATGGGAGGCAAGCCGAGCTCTTTGGCAGAATCCCTGGAGCCGCCTCTGTGGGTCTTGGCTGCTTCTCCCCTGGGAGCAGGGCTGAGGCCCAGCCCTGATTCAGCAAACCCTGCACCATGGTGAGGGGAGGAGTGGGGCAGCCACAAGCCCGCGAGACCCACCGGCCCCAGGCGTTGCAGCTCTGGTCTCCCTGGAAAGCAAGAAAACGCCCAACCCCAGACGCTGAGGCTGCAGAAGCAGCTGCTGCCGCTGCCTGATGGCCTCCAGCCCGGCGGGATTGAGCGGCCCGGCCCGTAAGGAGCTGGCTGCCCTTGTGCCCCTGGCCTCCCTGGGCAGAGCTGAGCTAAGCCGGTCCACTCCCACGCCCACAGCCACCGGCCATGCCCCTCATGCCAGCACTTCGCTCCTTGCTGCACTGCGTAGCTGACCTGAAGCTGTCTGCTGGCCACTTGCATGGCCCCAGAACCCTGCTTCGTGCTGGGTGCTTGGGAGGGTTCTCAGGGAATGACACAAGGCGGGGACCTTTTGGAAGAGACCTGGCAGCACTGACTGTTGAGTAAAACTGAGCGGCCTGTGCACTGCACAATTCCAGAGGTTGCCCTCTAGGTGGATCACAATGAATGTGGCTCCCCCTGGGGATGTGAGCTGTGGAGACCCTGGAGTTGGAGCATCCCCAGCCCCTGCATTAAGCCCCTGGCCCTCTCCCCTCCCCCCCTTCCCCTTCTCAGCCAGCTCTGACTACCATTCTGCCGGTGGGTGGTGATGAGCTATTCCAAAGGGGCAGGTTGTCAAATCGCGGTAGGGAAAGAGTTGGGAGTGGAGACCGCCATCGGGAAACTGAGTCAGCCAGGAGACTCGATCCCCTGGGAACAATCCTCCCAGTGGGGGTGAGTGGGTGTGGGAGGGGTCTTCATGCCCCCCCCCCAGCACTGCTCTAGTCCCCCAGCCCAAAGTCGCGTGTGTCAGAGGTACTGTGACTCTCACTGCCTTCTCATTGGAAAGACTCCGCTCTGGGCCACCGAGGGCTGTGCAGGGATCAGGCATACGAGTGCACCTGACCCTGAAGGCCCAAAGCAGAGAGACGATGCCAGGGTGGGTGTATTCAGGGAGGGCCTCTCGGAGGAGGCAGGTGGGAAGCTGGGCTGACTCTAAGGCCCTGGGCAGAAAAGTGGGACCCGGGCCGGTTCCTCATGCAGATGGCTTGACACCACAAGTGTCATTCTTTATTGAGCACCTGCTATTGTGGTTTACAAGCTGTGGCCCTGAGACCAGCAGCGTCAGGAAGAAATTCCAGGCGTGGAGCCGAGCAGCAGGCTTTTCAGCCCTCCAGGCCATGCCGACGCAGCTCCCATTCTGTCTGATGGGTGCCCAGCACTGCGCTCCCATGAGGAGGTGGGGCCTGGGAAGGAGACACGGGGGTACAGAGACTGCTGTCCATGGCATGGGAATGCAGGGGTCCCTCGGTGCCCTGCCCCTGCCTCTCCTGCCCACTCCCCGGGTGCCACACAGCAGCGTCTCCTTCCCCCAAGCCACCTTGGGGGCCACGTGGCCACAGCCCATTATCTCAGAGCCCGAGTTTTAGAACATTTCTAAGTAAGGTTTTTCAGTCGGCAGAGAACATGCTATTGATTTAGGCGCATCTATTTCTGTTTCATGCAGACAAAAGGTTTTAGAGGGAGAAAAAAAATCTTCGAAAGGAAGGAACAAAATGAAAAATGAGTGAATTTAAGAGGCCTGGAAAGAGGCACTTTACTTATCTCCCAGAATGCCTTCTACGCCTCCTGAAAGTCGGTGACGTCACCCGCCTGCGCAGGCGAGGAACCGACTCAGAGAGGTACAGTGCCTGGCCCAGGCTGCCTGGCCAGCCAGCGCTCAGGCCAGGGTGGGAGTCCAGCTGCCTCCAAGCTATGCCCTTGCTGGCTGACCGAGGAGTTTACCGAAGGCCCTGGCTCGTGCATCGATCCATGTTCTGAAGGCTGCACTGAGGGCAACAGCCTGGCCCAGAGCCAGGATTAATCTGATCCTCTGCCTAATTAGGGGCAGGAGAAGCCTGGAAGCCGGAGGGGAATGCATCTGGCCTTATCTGCCACCTTGCCTGCGTGCAGCGTGTGCTGGCTGCCCGCTACACTGATAGAATGACCTCTGGATGTTGCAGGGAGCAGGAGCTGACAGTGGGCAGGCCTAGGGCCTCAGGCCACAGCACCCAGCCTGTGCACAGTGCCCATGAGGTCCCACACAGCTGTCTGTTTTCGTGGTGTAGTACAGAGGGGTAGCTGTGTGAGCCAATGCCACAGCGCCCTCTGTGGCCAAGGGGACCACTTACCCCAAGCTATCGTCTCCTGCACAACAGCAGGTGCTAGTAGTGCTGATGACCAAATCCTCGCCTCTCTGGAGGTCACCTGGCTTAGAAGCCCTGAGCTTGTAGAAGCCAATGAGGCAACAGGTGCAGGAGCTGCAGGACCAACTTGTGGTGCAGAATCCACGTGTAGAGTTCATAGAGTGTTCTCCAGCCCTCGGCCCAAACCTGCTTGCTCTTAGTTTACACACACACTAATAACAGGCTGTGGTGTTTCCATTTCTTCTTATAACAGTTTTTAAAAATAGCAGCTGGACCTCCAGGACCTGTGAGAGACACCATACAATTCACCCATGTAAAGTGCACGGTAGTGGGTTTTGGTATACTCAGAGTTGTGCAACCATCACGATGTTTTTTGTTTTTTTGTTTTTTGTTTGTTTGTTTTTTTAAGATTTGTTTATTTTTTTGAAGGTAAAGTTACAGAAAGAGAGAAGGAGAGAGAAAGGGCACTTCCATCCGTTGGTTCACTCCCCAAATGGCTGTAGCACCTGGGGCTGAGGCTGGGCCAGTCTGAAGCCAGGAACCAGGAGCTTCTTCCAGGTCTCCCACATGGGTGCAGGGGCACAAGGACTTGGTCCATCTCTTGCTGCTTTCTCTGAGCACATTAAGCAGGGAGATGGACAGGAAGTGGAGCTGCCGGGATTTGAACCGGCCTTCTGCTAGGGGATGGCCGTCAGCATCACAAGCTGTGGCTTAACCCTCTGCACCACGACACTGGCTGTGTCTTTTTATTATTGTCATCACTCTTATTATGGCCGTTCTAGTGGATGTGACTTTGTACCTCGTTTCTCTGAGGACAGATGAGGTTGAGTATATTGACTGTCTTTGTATCTTCTTTGGAGGAATGTCTATGCAAATCTTTTGCCCATTTTCACGTAGGTTGTCTTTTTAATATTGAGTGGCAAGAGCTCTTTATATAACATAGAAATAAGCCCCTTATCAGACTTGCAAGCTACATTTCCCCTTCTGCAGCTGTGTTTTCACCTTCTTGAGGGTGTGCTCGCTACGTTTCTTACCTGCAGCAAATTAGCAGGGGCCATGAAGGGGCAGACAGACAGACAGACTGACAACTTTGAGGAAGCCCGGGCAGGGAGGGAGGAGGAGGCAGAGACCTCTAAAGAAGGGAAGCTGACGCTGCTTGGGGGGACCCTGGGCTTCGGCGGGGCGTGGTGGGGTAGACCCTGGGCTTCGGAGCTGGCCCAGCTTGTCTGCGTGTCGGCTGTCTGACCCCTCCGCATCTGGCGGGTTGTGCGCTGCCCATGAAATAGTCCATGTCGTGACCGCGCACAGGGCAGGCCGGCCAGCCCCGCAGCCAGGTGTGGCTCCCAGCCACAAACACGGCCTTGGTTTTGGTCCCGCTGGGAAGTGGGAGGGGACGATAAGCTTGGGCACACCCCAGCCCCATGCCCTTTTGTCCGCAGTTGCTGGGAGGTGTGCAGGGACTGCATGTGTGGCTGCCATCTGATCCCTCCCTGCCCCTCACCCACTCTATAGATAGAAGCCCCAGGGAGGCAGGGCCTGCCACCGGCTCAGGCAGGGTTGGACACGTCCTCACCCTCAGGCCACAGGGACAGGCAATGGGGGCTGCTCAGGACTAGCACGCCCTGGGCTGCTGGCCCTCAGACACTGCGACTTGGAGGACAGTGTGCACACACAGGCTCCCACATGTGCACACCTGCCTGGCAAGCTGACTCCGGGCTCTGGCGCACACTGTCCCTTCTGTTCTGCCAGTGCCCCTCATGGAGGGACAGTTAGTGTCTGCATGTTAAAGATGAGGCCGCTGTGGAGCAGAGAAGCTAAGCAACCTGCCTAAAGGCACCTGGCAGGCGAGGGTTGGCCGTGACCGTGAGCTGCCCCCAGCAACCCAGCCCAGAGCCACGCCTGTAACCACATGCATCCCCACCTCAACTCTGCAGTTGCCTTTGGGGGAGGGGATCCCTGAGCCACGTGGTTAGGGGCTCAGTGGGTGACTCCAGTGTCTCAGGGATGGTTAGGGGCAGGGCTGCAGGTCAGCCCCAGTTCCCCAGTCCCTGCCCATGGCTTCCCACTGCCCCAAAGGAAGCCCAGTCCGAGTCAAGTTCTACACGGCAACATTAGGGCCACCCCCCAACAGTCCCTTCCCACCTGGGACACTGAGTCTGGGGTCCAGTGTGGACGAGGCTCAAAGTCCGGACCTCTCGGCCTTTCTTCATTTTGGTTGTTTTCCCTTTGGTTTTGAGGCAGTCAACCCTTTGGACTTCTCCAGGCATCGTGAGCGGTTACCTCTGCCATGAAGTCTCCCTGGGCTTCCCCTTGGGAGTGGCAGCTGCCCCCTGGACAAGAGCCCTGGCCACACCTGTGCCATTCTTGGGCTCTGTCCATCCCCAGCGGCCCTGTGTCCTGTCGTTGGTGGAGAGCTCTGATCCGAGCCCCTCCCCCATGTTCAGCGTCAAGTGACGGGGAGATGGGAGGGAGCACAGATGGAGGACGTGTCTTGGGCAGAGCCTACTCGGGATGGTCCAGCTTGCTAGCAAATATGGGAGAACCCATGTGGAGGCCTCAGAGTGCCTCCTCTCCCTCCCTATCTGGGCAGAGCTGTCCTGGCCCAGCCCCTGCTCTTGCAGACATTAGGGGAAGTGAACCAGTAGGTAGATCTCTTTCTCTCTCTGTCTCTGTCATCCTGCCTTCCAAATAATTAATCTTTTTTTTTTTTTTTTTGACAGGCAGAGTGGACAGTGAGAGAGAGAGACAGAGAGAAAGGTCTTCCTTTGCCATTGGTTCACCCTCCAATGGCCCCCGCGGCCAGCGCGCTGCGGCCGGCGCACCACGCTGATCTGATGGCAGGAGCCAGGTGCTTATCCTGGTCTCCCATGGGGTGCAGGACCCAAGTACTTGGGCCATCCTCCACTGCACTCCCAGGCCATAGCAGAGAGCTGGCCTGGAAGAGGGACAACTGGGACAGAATCCGGCGCCCCGACCAGAACTAGAACCCGGTGTGCCAGCGCCGCAAGGCGGAAGATTAGCCTAGTGAGCCGCGGCACCGGCCTCCAAATAATTAATCTTAAAAAAGAAAAGATGCATGGAAGTAGTATGCATGCTTCTATATTAGCACATTAAGTAACAAAACTCAGGGACATGGACATGGACAATGCCTACCGTGGTTTCACAATAGTGCTGAGTTTTAAAAGTATTCGGAGACTCCTTATGATTAAATGATGCTCCGATACCGGTCACGTGACGTAGTATTGGTGACGCACTCACAGGCACTGTGGATGCTCCTGTGGGTTGTTGTTTGCCTGCATGCTTGCCTGGAGCTGCACATTTCGGCTAGAAGTTGGTGGCGATGCAAATGCAATCTTTCCCATCCAAGTGTGCCCAGGTCCAGGGTTTCCTCCACGTCCATTCACATCACAGGCTCCACCAAAGAGATCCTGGGGGCACCAGCCTGTCTTGGGGCCCCCTTCACGGCCCTGTCTCATCCTCCATCTGAGACACAGCATGAGAGGTCGTGTTCCAGAATGCAAGGTGAAAGCCAGCACAGGAACCATGTTTCTTTTTCCTGTCATCCAGACAACACCCAGTGATGGGCAGGTCAGAGTGCTTGGTCACTCCTGGCTAATGGCCCCCTGCTTTTAAAAAGAAGTGTGGCACTGCCTAGCACTGGGCACGGCATTCCATACCCTTCTTCTCCAGAACCCTCACTGCTGCCAGTCTGTCCCCAGGAGATTTGTTCAGCAGGAGGGACGGGGTGAGGGGCCCAGGGGTCCTTTCCCCTCCTCTTCCTGAGTCTGTGCCCTCAGATCGTCCCCCTGGTGCTGGTGCAGGGTAGCTCTCAGTTCCTGCTGGGTGAACCTTTGGCCACTGTGCCATTGCACTGGGCAGAAGGAAGGAGGGGAAGGAGGGCTGGCCCAGGAACCCTTCACCGACCAGGTGCCCGCCTTCTCTTGCAGCCGCTGCAATGCCAGGAGAGATGGACAAGCCACTGATCAGCCGCTGCCTGGTGGACAGCGATGGCAGCCTTGCCGAGGCCCCCAGCGAGGCCCCCAGAGTGGGCATCCTGGGCAGTGGGGACTTTGCCCGCTCGCTGGCCACACGCCTGGTGTGCTCCGGCTTCAGCGTGGTCGTAGGAAGCCGCAACCCCAAGCGGTCAGCCGGGCTGTTCCCCAATGCGGTGCAGGTAACTTTTCAGGAGGAGGCTGTGAGCTCCCCGGATGTCATCTTCGTGGCTGTGTACCGGGAGCACTACTCCTCGCTGTGTGGTCTTAGCGACCAGCTGACCGGCAAGATCCTGGTGGACGTGAGCAACCCCACGGAACAGGAGCATCTTCGGCACCACGAGTCCAACGCTGAGTACCTGGCCTCCCTCTTCCCCACCTGCACCGTGGTCAAGGCCTTCAACGTCATCTCTGCCTGGACCCTACAGTCTGGCCCGAGGGATGGAAACAGGCAGGTAGGTTCTGGGGCAATAACAGATGTCCTAATAATAAATATAAATGGCACATTTTCATTGAGGACCATTAGTACACCTCGCTTTCTACAGTAGCATCTCCATGTCTCCATCACTGCACAGTTCCATTTTACAGAGCAGGAAACTGAGGCTGAGACCTGTTAATGATCTGACCTTCTCAGAATCCCACAGCTGGTGCACTGGGACTTGAACCCAGTTCCTGTGGCTCTGAAACCCATGTTCTTTCAGCTGTGGCAGCTGGGTTTCCTAGGGGACAAGAAGGAAAACATTGATGGCTTCTTACTGTCTGGGATTGAAATTGGACTCAGAAAGTAGTTATCTTTTTTTAAAAGATTGATTTATTTGGCCAGCGCCGCGGCTCACTAGGCTAATCCTCTGCTTTGCGGCGCCGGCATACCGGGTTCTAGTCCCGGTCGGGGCACCAGATTCTGTCCCAGTTGCCCCTCTTCCAGGCCAGCTCTCTGCTATGGCCAGGGAGTGCAGTGGAGGATGGCCCAAGTGCTTGGGCCCTGCACCCCATGGGAGACCAGGAAAAGTACCTGGCTCCTGCCATCGGATCAGCGTAGTGTGCCGGCTGCGGCGGCCATTGGAGGGTGAACCAACAGCAAAGGAAGACCTTTCTCTCTGTCTCTCTCTCCCACTGTCCACTCTGCCTGTCAAAAAAAAAAAAAGAAAGATTGATTTATTTATTTGAAAGTCAGAGTTACACAGAGAGAGAAGGAGAGGCAGAGAGAGAGAGGGAGAGGTCTTCCATCCACTGGTTCACTCCCCAGATGGCCACAACAGCCAGAGATGCACCAATTCAAAGCCAAGGAGCCAGGAGCTTCTTCTGGGTCTCCCATGTGGGTGCAGGGAGACCCAAGCACTTGGGCCATCTTCTACTGCTTTCCCAGGGAGTTGGATCGGAAGTGGAACAGCTGGGACTCGAACTGGTACCCATATAGGATGCCGGCACTACAGGCGACAGCTTTACCTGCTATGCTACAGCACCAGCCCTGGAAGTGGTTATTTTTTGTTTTTATTTTTTTCTTAATATCTATTTATTTGAAAGGCAGAGGGAGAAGGAGAGAGAGAGAGAGAGAGAGAGAGAGAGAGAGAGAGAGAGAGATCTTCCATCCACTGATTCACTCCCCAGTAGCTATAACAACCAGGGCTGGGCCAGGCCAAAGCCAGGACCCCGGAACTCCATATGTCTTCTATATGGGTTTTAATTCCAAAAGGCCACTTGCATTTTCCTGGAGGAAGAATGCCAGACTTGGCTTGTGTGTAAGAAATTCAACCAGTAAAGTTTGTCCCTGGTGCCAGGCTGGGGGAGAATGGGAGAGTGCAGAGGTGCCCAGTAGCTCCTTGCTGCAAGGCCTTAGATGCAGGCTGCATCATGGGATTCGTGTGTCCACCAGGAGCAGTGGGCAGGTGTTGAGTGCAGGGCCTGGAGGAACTGGAGCAGGCAGGTGGCTGGCTGGAGAAGGCTTTGAGGTGGAGCCTCCTCATGCCAGGCTCTTTCCAGGCAGAGAGAACAACCTGCAGAAGTGAGAAACAAAGCTCCCGGACCTCAGTTTCCTCATCTGAAAAATGGGTGCAATTGTACCTACCTGCAGGCTTGCAGCAAGGCTGAGGCATCCTATGGGTAAAGCCTGGCACACAGTAGGTGTTCAGTCAGTGTTCGGAGACCAGGCGGACCCTAGCCGTGTCAGCAAGGACTATGGAGTACTGGGAGATTGTGGGGACCCCAGTGTGCCTGCATGGAGGGTTCATGGGGAGCAGTGGCTTTCCCAGGATGCTTTGGGGAAGACCTTGTGTGTTGGCTGATGGCCCTGTAACATCAAGGGATGTCATGGGAGGGGATATTTGCACTGAGGGATGGAGCTACAGCCACAGCTGCACATGCTGAGCCACACACAGAACCCTGTTGCTAAGCAACTCCCAGGGCATGTGTTTCGTTCCCAGGGTCCCTGGGTGGCTGCTTTGATGGGCATTTTGCTGAGGTTGGTGAACTGAGCAAGAGACCCTGTTAATGGCTTCTCTCCTTGAGTAGTGGGCTTTGCTGAGAGTGCTGGGCCAGAGCCTGGAAGACCACAGCAGGGTGAGCCAATACCCCAGCTCACTTGGAAAGGTCCCTGCCCCTTTGGGGCCTCTATTCCTTCAGTTGCTCAGTGAGGACTTTGGCTCAGGTGCCCGCCGAGCCCTGCCCTCGAGTGACGCCCCCCATCTCACCTCCTCCCAGGTGCCTGTCTGTGGCAACCAGCCGGAAGCCAAGCGTGTGGTCTCAGAGATGGCGCATGCCATGGGCTTCATGCCAATGGACATGGGCTCCCTGGCATCAGCCCGGGAGGTGGAGGCCTTGCCCCTGCGCCTCCTCCCGGGCTGGAAGGTGCCCACCCTCCTGGCCCTGGGGCTCTTCGTCTGCTTCTATGCCTACAACTTCGTCCGAGACGTGCTGGAGCCCTACGTGCAAGAGGGCAAGAACAGGTTCTACAAGCTGCCCGTGTCCGTGGTCAACACCACACTGCCATGCGTGGCCTACGTGCTGCTGTCGCTGGTGTACCTGCCCGGCGTGCTGGCGGCTGCCCTGCAGCTACAGCGGGGCACCAAGTACCGCCGCTTCCCCGACTGGCTGGACCACTGGCTGCAGCACCGCAAGCAGATCGGGCTGCTCAGCTTCTTCTGCGCCGCCCTGCACGCGCTCTACAGCTTCTGCCTCCCCCTGCGCCGCTCACACCGCTACGAACTGGTCAACCTGGCCTTAAAGCAGGTACACACCCCACGCCCTCCTCCCACCCTTGTCCAGAACCACCGTCCAGGTACCAGGTGGGTCAGCACGCACAGGTCAGCACTGTGTCGGACGTGGAGCATGGATTCTGTCCGGATCGGGCGTTGTCTACCTCCATCTTTTGGTTTGAGAGGCAGAGGGACAGACAGAGATGGGGAGCTCCTGTCTGTTGGATTCCTCCCCAAATGCCCTAATGGCTAGGGCTGGACCTGAGCTGTAGTCTGAAGGGGAGGCCTTGCTGAGTAGGGAATGGGTGAGCAGGAGCCAAGCAGGTGGGGGCGGGGCCAGGGGAGCGTGGCCTGCAGAGTCCAGGCCTCTGGTGGGAGCTGGCACGTTGCAAAACAGCCAGCAAGCTCAGCGGTTGAAACCACGCTTGGGGGCCTTGAAGGCCAAGGAAGGGAGATTGAGAGGCAGCGAAGGGCTTTGAGTGGAGGCGTGTTGGAGCACCTGCTGTTTTCACCAGCTGAGGTCAGGCAACAGGATCACGGGCCAAACCTGGGAGACCACAAGGAGGCTGTGCCTGAACCCACACGTGAGGCGGTAGAGGCTGAGAGCGGGTTGTGAGAGCAGAGGAACAGGAAGCTACTGACAGCATATTTTTTTTTAAGATTTATTTATTTATTTGAGAGACAGAGTTATAGAGAGAGGGAGAGACAGAGAGACCTTCCATCTGCTGATTCGCCACCCCCCTAATGGCCGCAATGGCCAGAGGCAGGCTGACCCAAAGCCAGGAGCCAGGAGCTTCTTCCGTCTCTCCCACTCAGGGGCAGGAGTCCAAGCACTTGAGCCATCTTCCACTGCCTTCCCAGGTGCATTAGCAGGGAGGTAGATCGGCAGTGGAGCAGCCAAGACTCGAACCGGCGCCCATATGGGATGTCGGCACTGCAGACAGAGGCTTAGCCTGCTGAGCCACAGCTCCAGCCCCACTTGATGGCATATTTTGAAGCTAGAGTACCTTGACTCACTGATAGCAAGGACAGGGTGCTCAAGAATGACTGTGGGTTTGTGGTCGGAGCACCTGGGAGGGCAGAGGGCCCATCAGCTATGGGGAGGGGGGCAGGCTGCAGGATCGAATGATTTGGGTTTGGGGTTTTTATTTATATATTCATTCATTTCTCAAAAACCCATATGGTGCTCTTGAGCCAGCAGGATTCCCAGGAGGTGGAGGGCTGTGGGGCCACACCAGGCTGGGAACGTGGGTGGCATGACGTGGCCCCTGCACCCATGGTGACAGACCAGCCCTAGTGCTCGCTCCCGGCTCACAAGCCCAGGTCTGCAGCAGCACTGCCCTTCGTTAAATAACAAGACCCCAACCTTGGACTTCCATGTCCACGGTCAGTGCACGGGTCCTGCCCGGTCCAGGGCTCAAGTCACATGGCAGGTGTCCAGTGGGATGCTTGCACGCACCCCACACCCAGTCCCAGCCAGGGGCGTCCCTGGAGCTCCTCCCATTCCTGCCCACACATTCCCCGCAGCCGTCCCCTCGGAGGGCCAGGCACTGGGGCTCCGCTAGCGAGGCTTGGAAACCGCAGCCCCCCCCCCCCCCACAATGGGTTCCTGCTCCCCTGCCGGCAGCTTCTCAGCTGCCCTCAGCCCTCCCCACCCACGGACACCTGGCGTCACGGCTTCTGTGGGCTCAGACTTTCCCAGCAGAAGGGAAGAACCACAGACTTCGGGCACAGAAGCAAGTTGCCTTCTGGAACTGAGCAGAAACTACAGTCACGCACCCTTAGAAAGAGCTTGCTGTGTTCCAGGTGCCACTCTAAGCGCTTTGTGTGCCCACCCTGAATTCCCTTCGCCTTATCTCATCCCATGCGTATAGGCACAGAGAGGTTGAGTGACATGACCAAAGTCACACAGCCAGGAAGTGTCAGAGCTGGGATTCAGATCCAGCTATTCCCACACCATATCCATGGCTCTCTCCAGGGAAGGTAAATCCAAAAAATTAACAGTGGGGTAAATACACTCGTTCCCTGAGCACCTGCTCTCCCAGGTCCCCTGGCCACGGAAAGGAGTAAGAAAGATGCAGCCGGTCTTGGCTCCTGCCGCAGCTGGAACAGTGCGGCGGGGGGGCTGCTGTCCTGCAGCCTCACTGCGGAGCACAGAGACCCCGACCTTGGGCAGGTCCCCAGGGCCCTGTGTGCACAGCAAGGTCTCTCCTGGTGCTGGTGTCTTTGCTGCTTGGAGGATATTTTCTCATTCACTTTTATAAAGAGCAGACGGCTCAGCCAGAGGCTCCGTGGGGCTCCTCAGGAGCCGACGGTACAAGGACTGTGCCCAGGAGGGAGTGGATCTGAGTGGGGGCGCCCAGCCCTGTGTGTGGGAGCCCGTGTCTGAGCTGGCAGTTGTGGGGAAGCCGGCAGTACCCCCACCCCCCAAATCCTGCCCCTGCCTCCCTCACAACCCAGTGCCTTTCTCTAATTTCTCTGCCTGGCCAAGGCTCTCTTGGATTTTGTGTGAACCCAGTTTTGGTTCGATGCAGGCACCAGGGCACAGAGGGGCTCAGGGGAGCTCATTTCCCCTGCATTCAAAAGCCCTCTGGGGCCGCAGGCACTGGTGGGTGGTGCCAGGCAGCTACCCCTCCCCATCTCACTACACACACACACACACACACACACACACACACATGCACATGCCGGGCTGCTGGGGGTGTGTCTGGGGAGACGGCAGAGATGGGTTCAGCTTGGAGACGTGAGCTGCCCCAGTGGATGCCTGGGCACCCGGGCTGTTCTGCCTGGTGGTGGCTTTCCTTGCCTCCCCAGGATACACCCGCCCTGGAATGCCCCCCCCCCACATGCACACGCCCAGCCCCAGCCCTCTGGGAAAGGGGAGCACCTCAGCTTGGACACAGCGAGCCCCTCCAGGAGCTGCTCAGAGCACTCACATCTGCAGAGTTGGCGGCACGGCCATGCCGAGCTGCAGAGCAAAGCTTGGAGAGCGAGGTGGGCAGCTGGGTGATGACGAGCAATAGCTGGCATGTGGACGGCGCTTTCTGATTGCTGTGCGGGTCCCTGGGGCTGCGTTCCAAGATGGAAATCAAAGATCGAGATCAAAGCCTGTGTGCTGCTCTCCAGTTCCCCTCGCCCAGATCTCATCTGCGTGCAGCTGTCACTGAACATGCCGTTCTGAACCACGTCACTGCCCACATGCCTTCGTGACCCCTGCTGTCCTTGGGAGACCCCTGGCTGGGAGCCATGCTGCCTCCCAGCCTCACCTCCCCCACTTCCCTGGTGATGTGTCCCACACGTGTTCCGTGTGGTTCTCTAGATGGGCAGAGCTCATTCCTCGTGGTGTGAGATACCCACCCCAGCACACCTTGGAGCCTGGCAAGTTCCCGTTCCACCCACGGGCCGGCGCTGTGGTGCAGCAGGCTGGGCCGCTTACTGGAGCGCTGGTTCGGCCCCCTGCTAATGTACCTGGGAAGCCAGCAGAAGATGGTCCAAGTGCTTGGGCCTCTGCCACCAACATGAGATGGCCAGATAGAGTTCCAGGTTTCTGGCTTTGGCTTGGCCCAGACCTGGCTGTTGCAGCTATTTGGGGAGTGAACCAGCAGATGGAAGATCTCTCCCTCTCTCTGTCTCTCTGTCTTTCAAATAATAAACCCTTTTTCAGTTTCTTTGTTAACTTTATTTTTATTTTTAGGTTTTTTATTTCTAGTTTTTAACAGATTCAGTATAGTTCATAGATAGAATTCTACAATTTTTTAAATATTTATTTATTTTCTATTTGAAAGTCAGAGTTACACAGAGAGAGGAGAGGCAGAGAGAGAAAGAGAGATAGAGAGAGAGAGGTCTTCCATTCGATGGTTCACTCCCCAAATGGCCACAACAACCAGAGCTGCGCCAATCCGAAGCCAGGAGCCAGGAGCTTCTTCCGGGTCTCCCACGTGGGTGAAGGGCCCAAGCACTTGGACCATCTTCTACTGCTTTCCCAGGCCATAGCAGAGAGCTGGATTGGAAGTGGAGCAGCCCGGTCTCGAACCAGCGCCCATATGGGATGCCGGTGCTTCCGGCCAGGGCATTAACCTGCTGCGCCACAGCACTGGCCCCAGAATTCTAGAATTATAATGATACTCCCTCCCTCCTTCCCTCTCCCTTTCATTTTTCTCTTTCTTTAGCTTTTGAGATAGCATATTTTTAATGCGCATTATAGTCAAGGGCTTAATGCACCACCAAATAAAAAGTTTAGCAAGTAAAAAGCAAAAGGACCCTACTGACCTCTGCCAGCAGGTCCATGGTTCCTGACAGAATCCCAGCATGTATTTGTTGAGTGACTGACTGTGAAATTGGCCACCACGATACCAGTACCAGGCACTTATTTCTTAAGATGAGTGCATGTGAAGCTTGGGGCGAGAACAAGTGCAGCTGCCGAGCTGTCACCAGGAACAGCAGCGCCAGCCGCCTGGGAAGCCCCGCCGTGTGCCTGTGAGAGAGACACAGCCGTGTCGTTAACCACAGACAGGACCGTCCATGGCTTTGTGACCACCCTCCAGCGGCAGCATCGGCCCCAGCGTCCAGGCTTGGGCACTGCGACACAGGCTGCGCCTTCAGCCCGCTCTGCTCCGGGCTGGCAGGTGGTGGGCACCCCTCTCTTCCCTGGAGATCGGCCACGCTGGTCCTCCCAGCCCTGGATCCCACAGCGACCAGCCTGCCACCTGGAGGGGGAGGAAACCCCACACCTGAGTGCCAGCTTCCAGCTGGAAGTGACGAGCTATCTGGTCTACCTCGCAGGGGCATTTGGCCTAGCAGTTAAGACTCCTGAACTCCACATCACAGTGCCCTGGGTTCAATTCCCAGCTCTGGCTCCCAACTCCAGCTTCCTGCTAATGCAGACCCGGCTAATGCAGCTGGGGTGGCTCAAGTGTCTGGGCTCCTGCCGCCCACATGGAAGCCCTGGATTTCATTCCTGGCTCCTGACTTCAGTTGGAGCCCTTTGAGGAATGAACCAGCAGATGGAAGTCATCTCTCTCTCTTTTTCACACGGCCTCGGCAGATAAATGAATAGATAAAATTTTTAAGAAGTCTACATCCCAGGTGGCCAGGTAGGTGTGCCGCTGCTCGCTGGGGAGCTCTGGGTGCAGTGCCAGGTGGGGGACAAATCCCACATGTGATTAAACGTGGCCAGGGTCCAGGCCCTCCAGCAGGCTGCTCGCCGTGCACGGCTCCCCTGCCTACCTCTCCCCCTCCCCAGCATCCCTGCGGAGTGGCAAAGCTGAAGGAAAAAAACAAGACATTTGCAAGGCGCTGTGCTGTGCGCTAGAATCATCCACAGCCCGACTTGTGACATTAACTGCCTGATCCTACCGAGACGCAGACAGCAGTGACTAATGAAGTGCCGCCAGGGGAACAAACACCCCGGGCGGAGATGAGTTACCCAGCAGAAGTTGTTAGCGCTGCGAGGAGTGAGTAAGAGCCGGGCCGCCGTGATGGAGGGCCGGCCGCACCATCGGGGGGGTGCCAGCTTCCGCCACGGCAGGTGCACAGGCCGAGGCAGAGTCTCAGCACTGCCTAATCCACATCGCTCGGCTAGAGAAATCAGGGTTCCTGTGACTCGTGGTCAGGACAGAAAGAAGGGGGATCCTGGGGCAGTTAAGATGCCGGTCCATTTTGGAGGGCCTGGGTTCGATACCCAGCTCTGGCTCCTCACTCCAGCTTCCTGCTAATGTGCACCTCGGGAGGCAGCAGGTGGTGGCTCAAGCAGTTGGGTTCCTGTCACCCATATGGGAGACCTGGATTGAGTTCCTGGCTCCTGGCTTCAGCCCTGGCTGGGGGCTGTTGTGAGCAGTTGAGGGGTAAACCAGTAGATGGCAGTACCCTCTTTCTCTCTCCCTCTCAAATCAACAAATAAAAATTTTAAAAAGTAATACTTGTTTCTAAAGATTTACTTATTTGAAAGGTAGAGTTACAGAGAGAGGGGGGAGAGAGAGAGAAAGAGAGATTGAAAGCCAGAGTTACAGAGAGGGAGAGAGAGACAGACAGACAGAGGTCTTTTATCGCCTAGTTTGCTCCCCAAATGGCTGCAACGGCCAGGGCTGAGTCAGGCTGAAGCCAGGAGCTACATCCAAGTCTCCCATATGGGTGCAGGGGCCCAAGCACTTGGGCCATCCTCCCCTGTTTTCCCAGGCATTAGCAGGGAGCTGGATCAGAAGTGGAGCAGCCGGGACTCGAACCTGTGTCCATATGGGATGCCAGTGCTACAGGTGGTGGCTGAACCCACTATGCCACAGCACCAGCCCCCAAATACTGCGTTTTTTAAAAAGAAGAAGGAGCAGACTCCTGGTCCTTTGTGACTCACAGACCCCGACATTCGTGAGCCCGCCCTAACATAGACTCAAGACAATCGTTTTTCCCGAATTGCAGAAAAAAGCGCCGCAGGAGTTTCTTTCCACTTCCTCTCTCATAAGCTCTTGAGCTGTTTTTTGCTCAGCCCCTGGTTTCCTCTGTTAATATTTTTTCTGGTAACTGGGCTTATGTTCTAAGACTTCCTCAGAAGCCCCATGTGGGTCAGACTCAGGAAGCAGGGTCGTGCCTCTCGGTTTCTCGTGGCGGCGCCGTCTTGTCCTGTGGAGAGAATCCCAGCACCAGCGTGTCCTGGTCTTTCTCAGCCAACACCCGCACGGGCAGGAGCTCTGCCACCTGGGCCTTGACCTTGACCCCAGCTCAGCCTCCTGCATGCCCTGGGCCAGGGAGGACAGGGGCCCAGGAGCAGCTCAGCTGTGGGCACTCAGAGTCCTGTGAGAGCTGCTGTCCAAGGGCTCTGCAGCCTTGGACCTTGGCACACAGTAGGTGCAGCCTCGGACCTGGCACACAGTAGGCGCTTCAGAAGTGCTTGCTGAGCTCCATGAGTGGGTGCGTGACTGAGGCCTGGCGGCAGGTGAGCCAGAGCTGTGTGCCTCAGACAGAAACAGACAAGTGTGCACAGGGTCGGGGAGAGAGGGGGGGTCCCAGGGACTTGGGATCAGGAAATGTGGGAGGGTGAAGTCAGTGTCAACAGGGTCTGCTTGGGGGACCTGGAAGCGGGGCCCAGGATGAGGCCAGCTGGGAGGGGAGGCGGTCGGCAGGGGGTGAGCCCGACAGCTTCTGTCTCCTGTCCTGGGCTGCAGCCAGCAGCCCGTGGAGTGAGAGTCGTGCTCTGTGGGACTGTGTAGCCTGTGGCTCTCTGACTCCCTGCTCTGGTTGGCCATTCCCCAGGCAGATGTCCCCAGCCACCGAGAGCCCATGTCTGCAGAGCCACCCCCCGAGAGTCCTCATCCCATCTCTAGAACCCACATGTGAAGTGGGGAAGGGCCTTGCCTCGTTTTCCTTGTCTGTAAAATGGGAGAACGGGGACCTCTACCTCATGGGGTGCTGGTGAGGATTAAGTGAGTTAGTGCCTGGAGGGGTGGATGTTTGGCACAATGGTGAAGATGCCACTTGGGATACCCACAACCCATGTTGCAGGGCCCGGGTTCGAGTCCTGGCTCTGCTCCTGATGCCAGCTTTTAGCCAGTGTGCGACAGGTGCTGGATCGAGCAGGCGAGTCCCTGCCATCCACGTGCGAGACCTGGGTTAAGTTCCCAGTTGTTGGCCTTGGCCTAGCTCAGCTGTGACTGTTGAGGGCATTTGGGAAGTGAAGTAGCAGATGGGAGCTCTCTCTCTCTCTGTCTCTCTCATCCTTAAGTGGTGCTCGCCCACATCCTAGGGCCCCACCAGCCTTTGCCAGGCACCTTATGGTTTTCCTTCCATCCATGCCAGGTCTTGGCCAACAAGAGCCACCTGTGGGTGGAGGAGGAAGTCTGGCGGATGGAGATCTACCTCTCCCTGGGCGTGCTGGCCCTCGGCACGCTGTCCCTGCTGGCCGTCACCTCGCTGCCATCCATCGCAAACTCACTCAACTGGAGGGAGTTCAACTTCGTTCAGGTAAACTCCATCTCGCCTGCTAGTGAGCATGCGCAGCGGGGCCCTGGCCGCTTGTCACGGACAAGCCTCTGTCCCTCCCTCTGTGCACTGCCTCCATGGGATGCTGGGGCCAGGGCCCGCCCAAGTCTCGAAATGAAGGGCCTGCCTGGGGCAGGTTCATCCTTCTGACGCTGGGGAAGCCAGAGAACAGAACATGGGACGCTGAGTCATGCATCCTGTTTCCATAGTTCTTGATCTCCCTAAACAAATCCAGTGCACACTATTGCAGGACCTCTGCTGGTCTGGGTGGGACTTGGTGAGCTGGGGAATGCGCCTAGCTGGTCTCTAGACTGCTGGATTCACGCAGGGCGAGTGGGAGGGGAGCATGAGGAGCCCGCTGACCAGGGATGCGACATGGTCCTTTCGCAAAGGACAGTGCAGAGCAACAGGAGGTGTGGGGGCCAATAAACTGGAGAAAAGATTGGCTTCCTGGTGGGCGGGTCCAAGGCATTGAAGCACCTTAAGTGCAGGGACAGATACAACGCACAATTGACAGTTTACGTAAAAGGTGAGGAAATCTCTCTCTCTCGCGCGCGCACACACACACACACACACACACGTGGGCATTGTTCAGGGGTACAGGGGGCCAGGAAGGGAAAGAATGGGGGAGGGAAATAGAGAGAGAGAGAGCCCCTCCCAGTTGGAAAGGAGAGTGGTTACGTGGCACCTCCCTTAGGTCCCAGGTAGAGGGAGCTACATCCTGGGAAAGAGGTTATTTGACTGACAGGTAGGCGGAGAGGACTCCACAGGGCCAGGGGAGGTGTGGCTCCCAGCGGGAGGCCCTAATCTAGCTCCTTCCCTTATCCCTGCATCAAAAGACCCCAGAACCAATAAACCTTTGTTAACCAGACTTGTGGGAGCACCAGCACCCCGGCACCCTCCCTCTCCTTTATCCCCAGATCACAGCTCCCCCCCCCACCCCGCCCCCAGCACACAGCTGCTGGTGGCCAGAGGGTCCTCATGCATTTGTTCACTCAGCAAACATTCCTGCACCCAGACAGCAGGCAGGCGAGGCCTGGGATGGACGCGAGGGGACAGGCGGAGCCACGTTCCGATGACAGTGACCTCCGAGACATTGCTTACAGTTCTCTGGCATTTCCCGCTGCTCTGCACACCAGGAGAGCCGTCAGTGTTGGTGGATTAACTTATCCGCTCCTGGGATGGCAGCTGAGTAATGCCGGATCCTGCCTCGCATTGGATCAGGGCGGAGAACAGTTGTCCTGCCCACTCCCACTTGCAACGGAGCATCTGCGGAGTGTCGTCTCGGTGCAGCCAGGACTGAGGGGCAGTGAGAATGTAGTGCTCTCATGCAACCCAGTCATGGCTCCTAACTGGGGGCCCTTACCCTACCTTGCAGCAACACACGGTCGGGGTTGCTTGTTTCGTTAGCACGTGTCTATCTGTTCACGAATCTCGCCGCTCTGCCCCTCTCCGAAGGCCCCTGGAGGGGTGCTCCGGCTGACAAGTGCTAGCAGAAGAAGGGCAGAAAATGAATGCGATTTAGCTGCCACTAATCCCCCTGGGTCTCGCACCCAAATCTAGGATTTTCCTGTTCCCGGCTGGAGTCTCCTGGATACACAGTTTGTCCACAATTAGAGCAGGGCCGTAGGCTGCTCCCCTCGGCAGCAGGCTGCTCCCTTAAGCAGCTGGAGATTACATGCCCCGGCTCAGGCTGCTGGAGAAAACCGGGGGATTTGATTCTGTTAGCAAAAGTGACTGGGACCCCGCAGCTGCGCTCTGCTTTACACAGTGAAGAGTGAAAATGAAAACAGGAGAGTCCTCTGCCCCTGCAGGAGTTAGGTGGGTAGAAAGGCAAGGTTTTATTTGCAGAAAACAAACATGCCTGCACAGCAGCCACGAAACCCAACCACTGTGTCTCCCCGCAGCACAGATCTGGAAGAGGCACCATCGGCACCCGGGGGCCCCGCTCTGCCCACTCAGGCCCTTGTTCCATGACCAGGGGAGCTCCGTGTCCCCTCCCGGAGCCTCAGTTCACACTCCTGAAAAATGGAGGTGACGCTCTACAGGGATTTTTGTGGCACCACAGCAAGAAGTCATGTGTAAAAGGAAAAGAGACGGCATTTTGCTGTTACACCTAGGGGACTGGCCTCGTGTTCGCATTATCCCTGGCTAAGCTACCCACTGCCCATTCTGAGTTCAGTGGAAGGTTGTAGTCATCCAGTCATCCAGGCCAGGGTTTGTGAACTGCGGTAGACACACACTAGTGGGTCAAGCATTTTATTTTATTTTAAAAGATTGTATTTATTTGAAAGTCAGAGTTACATGGAGAGAGGAGAGGCAGAGAGAGAGGTCTTCCATCCGCTGCTTCACTCCCCAATTGGCCACAAGGGCTAGAGTTGCGCCAATCTGAAGCCAGGAGTCAGGAGCTTCTTCTGGTCTCCCATGCAGGTGCAGGGGCCCAAGCACTTGGGCCATCTTCTACTGCTTCCCCAGGCCATAGCAGAGAGCTGGATCGGAAGTGGAGCAGCCAGGACTCGAACCAGTGCCCATAGGGGCTAGGGGCACTGCAGGCAGCAGTTTTACCCACCAAGCCACAGCCACCCCAGGGTCAAGCATTTTAAAATGAGACAATAGAATGGCACTGGAGAGTGTTTTGCATGTGGTTAGGATAGGTCTTCTGTTGTTTTTCTATCAATTCTATAGTTATATATATACTTAGATACTTGCCTGTCTCCTGGGCTGTAATGAAATACAGTTTCTTTTTTTTTTTTTTTTTCAAAATTTAATTTATTTATTTGAAAGCCAGAGTTACAGAGAGGGAGAAAGAGACAGACAGACAGAGGTCTTCATCTGCTGCTTCACTTCCCAAATGGCTTCACTGACCAGGGCTGGGCCAGGCTGAAGCCAGGAGCTTCTTCTGGGTCTCCCATGGAGTGCAGGGGCCCAAGCATTCCAGCCATCCTCCACTGCTTTCCCAGGGAGCTGGATTGGAAGTAGAGAAGCCAGGACTCGAACCGGTGCCCATATGAGATACCTATGGCCGCAGGTGGAGGCTTAGCCCACTACGCCACAGTGCCAGCCCCCAAAATGCAATTCTTAACTGCAAGCCGCCATCTGAAAGGCTGGAAGCTACAGAGCACTCAGAGAAATACGGGTACCCTGCCCTAACCCGCATGGGTGTCTCTGCAGCTGCCTCCTGACCCCTAGGCGCCTGTGCAGCCGTACCCAGCAGACCTGGCTGTCAGTCCCAAGACCCCACTCACCTGTCCTGCTCCAGCAGACACAATTCTGAGCCTCTCAGAGCTCCAGTCTGTCCCCCGTGCCCCTGGCCACTCATGTGGTTGTCGGGAGGATTTGAGCTGGGCAGGGGCAAGTGCAGGGGGTATGCCCACGCTCACTCACAGCCCGGTGATTCCTAAGGGAAGCTGTGGCCTTCTCCCGTGAAGGGGGCATGGCCGGCAAGGAGCAGCCCAAGGAAACTCAGCCAAACACAAGCATAGCAACCATGATCATAGGGAGCTGGCTGTGGGGCTGGCCGTGGCGCTCGGGGGGCCTGGGCTGGCCCCTGTCTGCAGGGACTTCCGTAGCCAAGTGCGAGGATTCCAACAAAGACAGGACTGTGCTGGCCATCACCCTTTTCCTCCCGAGGCTGTTTGCAAAGCTTTGAATGTGGGTGTGTTATGTCTTTGGACATTCTTGTTTGACTTGGGCTCTGCTAAGCACTCCTAATTCAGCCGGTTAAATACCATTTGATTTCCAGGTCAGATATTTCACCCACGCCAGAGCAGCTCACCGGCACAGAGAAACTAGTTCGCAGCACAGAGCACATTCGTTCCACTCCAGAGTTAGAGGCCCCAGCTGGGACCTTGGCCACCTCGGCCGCTACCTGTGATAATGACAGAGACCAGCCTGGCCCCAGCTTCGTGAGCCATCGACCAGAGCCCCTTCACGCCACAGTAATTGAGCACCGCTAGCAGCGGCCACCGACCCAGCTGTTGCTTTTCTTGCTAACGAGCTTGCACACAATAAAAATGGCCCTTGCCTGGGAGGTTATTAATTGCCCCCACTGACAATCCCTCGCCCTCTTTTGGCCTCCTTTGGCTGCTGTGTGATGTACAAATCATTTCCAAGGAGAGAGAGTCTTAGGGAAGCAAACTTGCCCAGAGTGTCCGGGCGTCTCCCAGTGGGACTGTGAAGTCACAAGGCCCTTTGTTGTTGACTAGCCCTTGGCCGGCAGCCCTTGCTATGAACCCTTGGCCCAAGGCTGGGGCTCCCTGCTGTCTGCAGTGGGTGTGTGTCTTGGGGGGGGGGGGGGGTCTTGGGAGGCAGAGTGATGCGGATGTATGAAAGGGAGGGGTGGACTTGCTGCCGGGTTCAGGAATAGCATCCCCTCGCTGTCCCCATGCAGGGTCATGCATGCCCAACACAGTTCCTCACTCTCCAGACCAGGGGCTGGGGGCTGGTGGTCCACGCAGGGGCCGCAGGACACGGCGCCCAGGGGTGTAGTCAAGGCCTCACGAGAGCCACCAGAGCCGCTTCCTAAGCCAGAGAGGGTTGCCTTGTCTGGGACGCCCCCCTCTGCCAGGTGAGGACACCCCGAGGCCCTCAGTGGGTCTTGGTCTGAGGAACAGGTGGGCCTAGGCACCCCCAGTCCCCTGACCTGGGCTCAGGAACCCTGGTACGCATCTCACCCGGCAACTACAAACACCTGGGTGACGAGTATCCCCTAAATGAGTGGCTGAGTCCTGGTTGCGCGTTAGCATCATTGGCTGCACCTTAAAAACAGGTGCCCAAGCCTCACCCCAGACCTCTTACTCTGAGTTTCTGGGGGAAGACATGGGCATCTGTGTGTCTCAGGCTCCCCCGGTGACTTCAGTGTGCAGCAGGTTTGCAAGCAGCCTCCTGGGACTTGGTGGTACAAAGCACTCACCAGCCCCGCCCGTCTCAGCCGCCCCGGCAACTCTACAACGATAGAGGCAGGAGGGCCACCAGTTTGGGGACTGATAGACTGTTGGAGTGACTGATAGACTGTTGGAGACTTAGCCCCCATGGTCACGCTGGCATCCTCTCAACCCCAGTTTTCCATCATGAGATCAGAATGGAGAAAAAGTCAGTGAGACCCAGGTCACAGGAAATAAGTACATTTTTTAAAAAGATTTATTTATTTACTTGAAAAGCGGAGTTACAGAAAGAGAGAGAAAAAGAGCTTCCCTCTAGTGGTTCACTCCCCAAATGGCCACACTGGCCAGGGCTGGGCCAGGCTGAAGCCAGGAGCCAGGTGTTTCATGTGGGTCTCCCACTCAGGTGCAGGGGCCCAAGTACTTGGATCATCTTCCAATGTTTTCCCAGGCACATGACCAGGGAACTGGATCAGAAGTGGAGCAGCCAGGACTTGAACCGGCACCCGCATGGGATGCTGGCATCCCGGGCAGCAGCTCAACCTGCTATGCCACAGCGCCAGCCCCAGAAATATCTAATTCTTGATGGTCACTTCTGGAAGTGACTGGGTTTCTCTACAGGTGACTCACAGTCAAAGGAGCTTGTGTTTGGATGCTGATTGCATTTAAGTCACCTACCAATTAACCGTAGGACAGCAGGAGCCAACCAGGTTTCCCAGTGGCCATGTATAGCCAGCATGTCAGAAAGAATGGAATGAGAACCAGACATGGCAAGGAAAGATGGAGACTGGGGATCTTGTTGGCTTTGGTGTCTTACTGATGTTGTATATGTTTAAAAATTTTTTTAAACAGAGAGACATCTTCCATGCTCTGGTTTACTTCCTAAATGGCCTTCATGGCCAGGGCTGGGCCAGGCCACAGCCAAGAGCCTGGAGCTCCATCCCTGTCTCCCATGAGGGTGCAGGGACCCAAGCGCTTGGGCCGTCTTCCACTGCTTTCCTAGGCCATTAGCAGGGAGCTGGATGGGAAGTGGAGCAGCCAGGACTCGAACCAGGGTCTATATGGGAATTAGCACCTTAGGCGGCGCCTTCAGCCACTTGTGCCAGACAGATGTTAATCTGTGAAGTCACAATTTTGGTAATGCTGGCAGACACCTGTCGCTGCAATATCCATTAAAATAGACACAAAACTGGCCAACAGTTTTTAAACTTCTTGGAAAGCCTTAAAATCATTGGGCAGCCACCAGAAGTGCAAACACCAGCTAGGGGAAGAGCATCGCTATCAAGTGCACACGAATGGGGGCCGGCGCTGTGGCTCACTTGGTTAATCCTCCGCCTGTGGCGCTGGCATCCCATATGGGCGCCGGGTTCTAGTCCCAGTTGCTTCTCTTCCAGTCCAGCTCTCTGCTGTCCCAGGAAGGCAGTTCGGGATAGCCCAGGTGCTTGGGCCCCTGCACCCGCGTGGGAGACCAGGAAGAAGCACCTGGCTCCTGGCTTCGGATCAGTGCAGTGCGCCGGCTGTAGGCCATTTGGGGAGTGAACCAACCGAAGGAAGACCTTTCTCTCTGTCTCTCTCCCTCACTGTCTATAACTCTACCTATCAAATAAAAAAAATCTTAAAAAAAAAAAAACGCACACAAATGGTTCAGTCCTTACACAGCAACAGTGTAGAAGCATCATTCCCATTTTACAGCTTGGGTGACTGAGGCTCAGAGTTTATTTAGGTCCCCAGTAGTAAGGTTGCACCTACAGGAAGGGATACACCTGAGATCTGAACCCAGAGCCCTGAGTCCCAAAGCCAGCAGAGGAGCAGACCAGCTGTGGTTGTCATCACCCGGCCTCATTCCAGCCCTCTCTCCCTCCACAGTCCACGCTGGGCTTCGTGGCCCTGGTGTTGAGCACCCTGCACACGCTCACCTACGGCTGGACGCGCGCCTTCGAGGAGAGCCGCTACAAGTTCTACCTGCCACCCACCTTCACCCTCACGCTGCTGGTGCCCTGCGTCGTCATCCTGGCCAAGGGCCTCTTCCTCCTGCCCTGCCTCAGCCGCAGACTCGCCAGGATCCGCAGGGGCTGGGAGAAGGGCAGCGCCCTCAAGTTCACGCCACCCACAGACAACGCCCCTGTGGAGAAGACCAGCCACGTGTGAGGGGCCACACGGGCCCCAGAAGGGGGCCTGTTGGGGTTGTTTTTCCTGGACAGTGCGGGATGGCGTCCTTGCACGTGGATGGGTGGTTTGCGGTTGGAATTCCTGGGACACACACGTGTGCGGTGCTGTTCACATCGACACACGGCTGTGTGATGTTGGATGTACATATGTTTCCTACAGAGAGCAGCATAGCAACTCTGCTTAGCTGAAAAGTTGCCTCCCTGAGAGTTCACCTTGTAGGTTTCAAAGCCAGTGTCAGGAGAAGAGCAGTGCGTTGCACTCTGTACAGAAGAGGCTTTGGCTTTGATGCATCCGACTCACCCCTGCCCCTTTTGCTCCCTCCCCAAGGCTTGTGCAGACCTGGTGCTCTAAGGGGGCTGGGAGGGCAACGGCCCTGCCTGGGGCCCACCCCGGTGGGCGGGATAAAGTTGACCTGGGCAGGGGCAATGGGGGTGGGGGGCACTTCCTCCTTCCTCCACCATGGGCAGCAGCGGGAGGCTCAGGACCTGCAGAGGTGCAGGCACCCGGTGGGCCTGGAATCTGTGCCTGCTTCCCTGTGTCTGGCTTTTGTCCTAATGCTTCCCGAGCTGGGGAGGCACTTTTCCTCCTGAAAGTCAGAAGTCACCATAGAGCCTGCAAATTGATCCACCTGTAGGAGTGTGAAGTCCCCCTCCCGGCCAGAGCGCGGTAATTAGCGCTGGCTTGAGGGCAGGTGTGATCGCTCTCTCTCTCTCTCCATTAGGCTGCTGGATGCCTTCTCACCTTCCCGTCCTTGGTGAGAACATCACCCGGCAGGCGCAGAGCAGACCCTTTAGAAAGCAGGCCGGGGCTGGGGGCGGGGGGGTGGGGGGGGACACGACAAGAGACTCCCTCCCTATCAGAGCTGAGCCCTCTTCCTGGACCCTGCCCTTGGTGGTGGGGGGGGATGCAAAGTCAGCCTCGTGGGGAAAGAATGGAGACCCCTTCAAGTTTCATCTGCCGCCACTGGGCAGAGGTATACCCGGAAAACCACCCCGGCTCCAGGTCCCCGCTCCCGGGGTGCAGTCGGCCCCGATACCCGTGGGCTCGTTCTCCGCGGTGTGGTCTCAGTCCCCATTGTCAGCTGTGATCTGAGAGTATTGCTGTTCGTCTGGACTCTTCCAGGAGAGAATGAGAACGTGCATAACTTCCTTCCAGGATATGGTTATCATTGTTCCATTTCGTTAGGAGTTACGGCTCAGCTCTTCTGGTGCCTAATGGATAAATTAAACTTCAGCCTAAGTCTGTATAGTAAAAACCATAGTATACATAGGATTCTGTACCGGTCCCAGTGCCAGGCGGCCCATGGCAGGGGTTGGGGAATGGTCTTAGAACGCATGCCCATGCCCATGGGGCCAGCACTGTGGCGGTGCCGGTTAAAACCCCAGCCTGCAGGGCCAGCATCCCAGATGGGTGCCTGTTCGAGTCCCAGCTGCTCCACTTCTGATCCAGCTCTCTGCTATGGCCTGGGAAAGCAGTAGAAGACGGCCCAAGTCCTTGGGCCCCTCACCCACGTGGGAGACCTGGAAGAAGCTCCTGGCTCCTGGCTTTGGATCAGCTCAGCTCTGGCTATTGCAGTCATTTGGGGAGTGAACCAGCGGAATGGAAGACCTCTCTCTCTCTCTCTCTGGCTCTACCTCTCTCTGTAACTCTGTCTTTCAAATAAATAAAATACATATTAAAAAAAAAAAAACACATGCCCTGTGGGCATGGGGCTCTACTGGATTATATTGCAATGAAGCAGGGAGGGTCTTTCCCACTGAAGCTCCAGAGTTCAAATGCTACCGCCCCAAAACACAAGAGGCGGGACCACACCAGGGCCTCAGGATGTGTGTCTTCTACCCCCTGCAGGGCTCCTCACCAATCTGGGCTGAACTGGCTTCACCTCCCCCACTTGGAGCAACAGCTGTTCCTGGGGAGCCCGCCAGCCCCGCAGGGGGCAGGGTGATCTGCCACCCAGACACCTTTGAACACAAAGAGGTGGGGTGCACATGGGTGCCCTGGGTCAGAGGCCTCTGTTGATGGGATGCAGAGACCAGGGCTGGGGCTGGCGGAGGCAGAGCAGACAGTGCTGGGAGGGGCCAGGCTCATCTGGGGAGCACAGTTAGGGTCCTTCTGTGAAGAGCAGAGGGGAGGCCGGCGCAGCGGCTCAATAGGCTAATTCTCCACCTTGCAGCACCTGTACACCGGGTTCTAGTCCCAGTCGGGGCGCTGGATTCTGTCCCGGTTGCCCCTCTTCCAGGCCAGCTCTCTGCTGTGGCCCAGGAGTGCAGTGGAGGATGGCCCAAGTGCTTGGGCCCTGCACCCCATGGGAGACCAGGAGAAGCACCTGGCTCCTGGCTTCAGATCAGCACGATGCGCCGGCCGCAGCGGCCATTGGAGGGTCTCTCTCTCACTGTCCACTCTGCCTGTCAAAAAAAAAAAAAAAAAAAAAAAAAAAAGGCAGAGTGGAAAACAAAAGCCCACACAGGGGAAAACAAAAGCCCGTGGCAGGGAGGGAGGCAGTGGTTGAGGGGAGGCTGGCTTTCCACCTGCCTCGCCAAGGCTGACTTACAAATTGGCCCTGGTGGAGCATCCGCCGCAGGCAGAGAGCCTCACTGAGAAGTGGGTAAGCAGAGGTTTTAGCACCTGCTTGGCTCACGAGAGCCCGTGGATCTCCTGCTGGTGAGAAGCAAGGAGAACATGGGCAACGCACACCCACCGATGACGCCAACGCTGGTGAGTGGGGGCTGCCCGCCTTCTCCCACCCTCCCTGGACTCATGCCAAGCCATAGCAGAGTCCCCTCCCTCCAACCTGAGGTGAGTGGCAGGAGGGGACAGGTGGGGCAGAGGGCCTGTCAGCTACAGCCCATGAAAGGCAGGAAGGCCGTGCACTTGACCCTGACCTTGTGTCTGCTGCCGTTCTTCCCTACCTCTCCAGACAGCTGGACACAGCAGCAGCCCCAGCAGAGCGAGTCGCTCCCCACAGCCTGGGCAATTCCCTGCGCCTCTGGCTGCAAACGTGCCTCAGCCCCTGTGCTCCAGAAATCCTAAATGCCACGGTCTGGGATTGGTGTTTCAAGTCAATGCCGTGTAATGTGGTTTTTGTATTTTGTGGTTTGTGTATTTTGGTTTTTGCCCCCTTGTCTAAGAAGACACACAAACAGCTAACCTCCCGTGAGTGTCAGGCACCACGAGCCCTCTGATAGGGGCCTGCTGTTCACTGGGCAGCGTGCACGGTGTTGGGGCTGCCATGGTAAACACGATCTGTGCAGGGCCCCGGTGCCAGGCCAGGGAAGAAGAAATGGGCAAGGTCCAGGGGACAAGGCCGGCTGGGATGCATAGTGGTAGGCTTTTTGCCAGGATAACTGAATGCCCGGAACAAGCTATTTAGGAAGGGGAAAAAGATGGACTCACCATCTTGGAGGCTCAAGTTCAAAATAGGCTGGCCCCACTGGCGTGGCCTCTGAGGAAGGCGGCAGTGGGGGAGTTGGAGCATGTCAGAGGAAGAATCACGTGGCGGGCCAGGAAGTAGAGAGCGTGGCTGGGCCCAACTCAAGCTGACCTCTGGCAAGCACTGCCCCCAGCAACCCAAGGCCCTCCCAGGAGGCTCACCTGCTGAACATCACAATTGGATTGTTTCTACCCTCTTAGTGCCAATAACATAGGACTTTAGGGTCGCCTATCCCCTGTGAACCGAACCAGTGCCCTGCTGACTTGCCCATAACTTGCTTCCCCTGGCATGATGTCCAGGCCGCCCATGCTGTTACAACCTCTTTGTTCTTTTATTATTTTTAAAAATTTATTTACTTATTTATTTATTTGAAAGGCAGAGTTACAGAGAGAGAAGGGGAGACAAAGAGAGGTCTTTCCTCCACTGGTTCACTCCCCAAATGGCCACAGTGGCTATGACTAAGCCTGGCTGAAGCCAGGATCCAGATGCCTCTTCTGGGTCTCCCATAAGGGTGCAGGGCCCCAAACTCTTGGGCCATCTTCCGCTGCTTTTCCCAGGCACATTAGCAGGGAGCTGGATCTGAAGTAGAGCAGCCAGGATGTTGGTGCTGCAGGCAGTGGCTTTACCCGCTGTTCCCCCTCTTTGTCCTTTTTAAAGGTAGGGGATGAGGCCGGTGCTGTGGCAGAGCAGGTAAAGACTTCCCCAAAGAAATAACTGCGGCCAGGAAATAACTTCACTACGAAAACGTTCAAGGCAAAGAAAAGCTTGTGCTTATAGGTTGGCTTTGCTACCCTGTGTCCCCCTCTATTTAATGCTGGCGGAGTCAGGTTGGCAAGGAAGTCAGGAGACGAGGGGGAGATGCCTCCTGGGAAGGTGGATCACGAAAGAACCAAGCAGTGCCCAGAACAGCTCGCAGCGGTGGAAAACAGGAAGCTACCGCTCAGCTCCTTGCTAAGTTGAGCTTTTCCCAAAGCAGTGACGCTGACCTGTGGGAACAGAAGGTTTTGTGCCCTGGGTCGCTTCTCTGCCCTCGATACACAGAGAACCCCGGCACCACTGGAAGAGAAAGGCTTAACACCATCAGACCTACACCGACTTCTAACAAAGGTTTTTGCTCACTGAGATAAAATTTGGAGATAATACAGTCTATCCATGCGTATAATTTTGTAGAATCAATTTAAGGCCTTAACTGAAACATAGAGTAGGAATAAAGATGAAGAAACTTACACTAAAATATGCCTAGGAATATAATAGCAATAATAAAGATAATATTAATAATCTTAAACAAATAAGGTTTTTAAAAAATATTTATTTATTTATTTGGAAGGCAGAGTTACAGAGAGGCAGAGAGAGAGAGAAGCCTTCTATCCGCTGGTTCACTCCCCAAATGACCACAATGGCCAGAGCTGCACTGATCAGAAGCCAGGAGTCAGGAGTTTTTTCCAGGTCTCCCACGTGGGTGCAGGGGCCCAAGCACTTGGGCCATCTTCTTCTGCTTTCCTAGGCCATAGCAGAGAGCTGGATGGGAAGTAAAGCATCCAGGACTCGAACTGGCACCTATATGGGATGCCTGCACTGCAGGCGGCGGCTTTACCCACTACGCCATAGAACCAGCCCCAGTAAGTTGGTTTTAAGATAAATACAATGACATTGAACTAAACATTGTTGACTCTTTTGCTTTTAACAGACATTTTTAAGATAAAGGCTAAGAGAGAGTACGTGTATGTGTGTATGTGTGTGTATGTATATGTGTGAGTGAATGTGTGTATGTGTGTGCATGTGTGTAGATCTGTGTATGTGTGTATGTGTGTGTGTACACATGCTTAACTGTTGAGCGTTGTGGAGAAATCAAGTTGGGTGAAAACCAATAAATGGCAACCAGATTTGGAAGCATGGTACTTCTGGTGACAATTTCAGTGGAGCGCTGGGAGAAGAAACCGAGTTGGGAAGGAATTGGGGGCCAGAGTTCTGGGTGATTCTTTGGAGACTTTGGCTGTCACAAAAGGCCTGGTAGCTAGAGAGGCATAGGTGGTGAGGTTGAAGAAGGGTTGGTGATTTTTCCCAAGCTCCTGGACTTTGAATGTTTCTGGAAAAGAACAAGATGAAAGGAGTTGGGGAGAGAGACAGAGAGACAGAGAGACAGACAAAATCCCAAGGCCATGGGAAAAGCCGAAGTGCAGAGTGAGCTGCCTTTAGAGAGGAGGAGTGGCTTTGTCCGTTGCCCTTTGCCCTTCTCCTGCATTCTTGGAGGTCCCTCCTGACGGTGCCCGTGTCCTTTCTGGACAACCGGTCCATCTGTTGACAGGGGAAGGGTGCAGAGGAGATTTAGCTCTGTGGGTTGGAGGGCGATGAAAAGGTGAAAACTAACTGTTGGAGCAAATGAGAATGGAGCTGACCAGAGAAACACG